GCGATAATTATTTTCTGACACTAGTGTCATCTATTAAAAAATCCGCAGAACTTTTTCACCAACCCAATATTACCTCACATATTTATATATAGTATTATTTTTTTAATATGACTTTTTTTAAATAGAACAAACATCACATTTTACATGCATATAATCTTATTATATAATCTTATTAATTGATTCATGTAATAAATATTACGCCTTGTAAATTTTAAGTAGTAATTCTCTGAGTATATACGATAAGTTAATTACGAATTATATGTAGTTTTATGTTACCAAATATATATATGTATATATATATTTATTCTGTTACTATTCTAAAACCTTGTTATTATTGTTACATATGATATTAATAATTTCTATAAATATGTAATATATATATTTTATTAATATAAATAATGTCGTTTTACAAGATTATGAGGCTGCGTTACAATATTCATTGGTAATACTAAAAATCTATACTTCACGTCACATGTGCTATAGATGCCAGTAGTGGCAGTGAATATCGTAACGCAGCCTAACATCAAAAAACGTTGTCGTACGGAACAAGCGCGTTACGTACGTTGCCTCGTGGGCTGTGTTCCAAATTTACTGCCAGCGCTGGCAGCACGTGGAACTACCGTTCCAAAATGTGTAATAGCACGCTGTGGCAGTGCTGCAAAAGGATAATGACGTCATTAATATTGTCGTCACTTCCTGCTGTGGCTGCTGCGGCTACAGAAGTGAAGCAGTTAAAGCATTAAAATGGCGACTACTATGGAACAAATAACGCTAATCGATGCGGATAATATTGAATACAAATTAGTTATATCAACAGAAGACGCTAAGAAAGAAAGAAATGGTAAGTATATATAATGTTTTTTATAATATCGTGTTTAGTTTTAAACAGAATTAGAATAGAAATATGCATAACCTAATTAACCTATATGTTATTTACATAATATAAGTTAATATTTATTTGCCTTATTTGTTTTTTTTTTATTGTATATTTGTATTGTTTGTTGATAGATCACGTATTCGTATATTCTTTATTAGAACACGCAAAAAGAAATACAAATGTAGATGTGATTGAAAAACTTCTATCTCAATCAGGTGTGTAAGATTGTTCGATGTGCGGCGCCACTTCCCGGTGGCTGCGATTAGCGCACTGCTAGCGGCAGCGGCAGCGGGCGACCGCGTGGCAGGCAAGAGAATTCGAGAGTCTTCCAGAATTCGAAGAAGACGTGTATTCTCGTGCCAAAAAGAACAGAAGCGGACTTCTGTGGTAACGGGCGACCCGAACGGTCGTGCAGAAGCTGTCGTACCGCGAGCGGAAACTTGTGATAAGAAAGCTGTCGTACCGTTAGCGAGAACTTGTAACAAGAAAGCTGTCGTACCGCGAGCGAGAATTTGTGTAAAGAACACGGTCGGACTGTTCACGAGGACTTAGTGGTTAGTTTGTTAATTAAAGACGTATATAAAGACAACAAATAAATATATATTGGCCAGCATAATAATTATGGTGACGTGTTCATTTTATTCCTGACATTTATTATTCGTCGTGTCGCAATAAACGGTTGTCGTGTCGGGCAAGGTCAAGTATCCTTAGCTCTTGTTGCTAATTCGAACTGTTTAGCTATTGTGTCGATGTTTGGTTGTAACTTGAAGGTGAATTCAAGTACGTCTTGTTTGTCGGTCTCAATAGACTTTATTGTCGTGTCGTGTCAGTTACAAGGAAAGAAAAATAAATTCAAAAATTATTGTCGTGTCAAAAATCTTTCAGGTGTATAATGTTCATAATTTATATTTATGCTGAAGTAGGTATTAAGTTATGTGTTTGTAGCATATGGATTAGTTTTCAATGTTACCATAAGTTCAATAAGTAGTGCTTTTTTGTAACTTTAAGAAATTGATATTTTCTAGAGAATATAAATAACACAAATGAGAGAGAGAAATTACTCTTTGTAGTAGTGAAACTGACTCGTCTGTTGGAGTAAAAGGTAAAAAGTAAACAATATTATTTTTCAAAAAGAACACTATTACAAATAAAAAATTATTGTTCTACTTTTAGATCAACATATATGGACTCGTTCTGAAACTATGCTCCTTATAAATTTGTACAAAGAACACATAGCAAAATTTAATAGTCCAAAAAGTTCTTCAAAACAGTGCTGGAATATTGTAATAATTTTAATACAGCCTCAAATTTAAAATTTAACACTAATATTAGACCAATAGGCTGGGTGCCACGGGTGTAGGCGGCCAATAAACAAAATGCAACTATTTAGTTGATAAACTTGGACGTTTCGATCATTTTATTTGATCATCCTC